CAGCATTCTGCAGGCTTCAGCCGGGGTGGGAGGAGGCAAAAATGCCCCTGTTTTTGAAAAAAAAAGGCATTTTTCACACAAACAGGGGCGTTTTTGCCTTGGCCCAGCCCTGATGAAGCCTGCAGGGTGCTCCTGAGGGCCGGGGAGCACAAAAACCTTTTTTCTTACTTACATCTTCAAAATCTTGGTGCATCTTATACTTCAGTGAATCTTATAGTCTGAAAAATATGGTAGATGGGTACCACTTCAGTGGGCAATTTAACAGGGATACAGAAGGAGCACCCAACCTGGTTCCCCCTTTCAGCCCAGAAGTGCCTCAGTGCTTCTGACATGAAAACAAGCAAGCACGGAACCCCTTAGTGAGGTGGACTAAGGTCATCTATAGAAGTGGTATTTTCCCTCTCCAACATTAACCTCAAGTTTCACTAAATCTGTCAAGCTGTGTTACCTCTTATTAAGGAGAGAAGTCAGGTAACTGCAGTGGTTGAGAATGGACGGCAAAGAGGCAAGATGAGGTAAAAAATGTACAGTTTCTGCCAATTCAGGGCTTGTTGAAGACCAATGGGAAAGCTAACTGTTAAATATCTCAATTATTGGCTTACTAGCCTTTGATCACTATCTCTTCCCTGGCTATTTAGCTTAAAATGTAAAGATATTTTATTGCATTTAGCATTTTGTTTTTGTTGTACCATTTTGTACTAAGGTTTTATTGTTTTGCCTCAATGCATTACCCAGGGCTAGCTCACATGTTTAAGGTTCTAGTTGTCTTTTTTCTGAAGGACCCAAGTTGATTTGCCTGTTGAAATGCTTAAACTGAGATCAATCCACACATAAACCTAAAGTTACACAATGCCATCAATTTACCTACAGCTTCTTTCAAAAGCAGACTAAGTGTCCATCAATAACCAAGAAAGAAAACTCTCAATTCCATTGTTCGTGGAAATTAAAATACTTTCACTGGTTATGAAAAGATAGCAGCGAAAGAAAGCAAGATCTGAGCGAGAAAGGCGCGAACAAATACATATCAAATGATTACCCAGCTCCCTCACTCCAACAACCCCACCCCAATGTCCAATCTGCAACCCCTAAGGTGTCATGTAGGTTGCATCTCTAAAAGGCATCATCAGGTTGGTATGCAAGATGGTTGGCCTTGACCAGGCCCAAACACTGGCCACCAGCATGTGCAGAAGANCTAAGGCATTCTGGGAGTTGATGTTTTCACGCGTCTCAAAATGGCCGACGTCTGGAGATGCCAGCTTCAGGGTTTGAAATCTCAGCTTAAACTCACTCTTCAAAGGCAACTTTCAGCCGCTCGGGGCGCCTTACTTTTGCAACGCATCCGCGTCTTCGCCTCGTAGACTTCCTGCGTCGAGTCGCCCCCTTCGGCTTGGCGCGCCAATCGGCTCTCCATGCCAGCCCGGCTCTCCACTTGCTTGTTCAGCTCGGTGAAGGAGCGCGAGATATCCCGGGACTCGCTTCTCAACCTCTTCCCACTTCTCTGCGTCGGAAACAGCCGTGAGGGCCAAGGCAGAAGGGCATGGCCAGCCTAAAAGGACTCGAGGAACTTCATGAGGACTAGAAACCAACACGGGGAAGATCTTCTGTTGCCTATTCTTACACCCAGGGTTGGAGGCAGTAGCAATGGCCTACTAAACCTGTGTTTCTGAACCAGGGGCAAAACTTTTTAAGATGGGCGGACTCCAATTCCCAGAATTCCCCTGTCAGCGTGGCGACTGGGGGATTCTGGGAGTTGAAGTCCACTCACCTTAAAGTTGCTAAGGTTGAGATATAATGTGAAATCCTGCAGATTTAACCCTTCGAGTTGGAAGGGACCTCGGAGGTCTTCTAGTCCAACCCATTTAATACTTGGCCCATCAAGCATGCTGGGCAGATAAGAACCCAAAAAAATCAAGATATTAATTCTTTTATATGGGGGAGGGTTGGGCTAGATGACCTCCAAGGCCCCTTCCAACTCGAATAACCTAATCATCTAATCTACTACATCATTTTGTAAAATTTAAAGATGAGAAGCAGGTTACGGCAATGGCATTAAAGCTCTTTTTACTGAATTGTAATTCCCCGGCCTTTTAACAAACAGCCCCTCAAGAGGACTAGCCCCTTGGCAAGCCGCAACGCCGTGTTATTCTCACCACCATGTCTTTGAGGATCTTCCGCATCGGAGCCAAGGAGATTTTCCACGCTTTTTTGGAGTTCTCAATCTGTAATTCCACCGTGCAGCTAATGGATCGTACCACTTCACCGAGATTGTGACGGACATTTGCCACCGGACCTGCCAAGGGGGGGGGGGACGGACGGACGGACGGTGAAAAAATAAAGATTTTTAAAGGAGGGGGAACCATTGGTTCCAAATTTTGCAAGGGAGGGGCAGACAAGGCGCTAGTCCTCATTGGCAATTGGAGTTTAAAGGGAGGGGAAATATGGTAGGTTTTCAAAAGTGAGGAAATGCTGCCCTCTGGTGGCCGAGCAGGGAACTATGTCCTAAAACAGAGATGCCATATTAAACAGGTGGAGTTTTAATGCTGCCCTCTAGTGGTGGAATGCTGCCCTTGCGGCTTGAAGAAGAGGCTCATAAAAATATGACACTTAATAATATTCTTTTTTTAGAACTGAGTGTGTCTTTCTCCGACTGCGTCTCTATTTATAGCTGATGTTTGCATAGAGAGGTACAGTTTCAGAGGGCGGTGCAACGTTGCAGGATAAATGGCCTTCGGTGTTTAATGTGGAAATTTTCCTCCTTATTTTTTTTTTAAAATCCCCCCCCCCCCCGGTTTAGGAAGAGAAAGACAGGAAGAGAAAAAGAAAAAGAAAAATCAATATATAAAGAGGCCTTGCGATTTCGATCAATCTCTGTGCAGCAAATCCCTATTAAAACAAGTCTGTTTCCATCGTTTTAGAATCAAGCTGGGTGACTTTGGGACAATCACTAGGCGATGGTGAGTTCTAGTAGTCCTGCCTTAGGCATGAAAGCCAGCCGGGGGACTGGGCCAATCAAGCTGGGTGACTTTGGGCCAATCACAAGAAATCGGGGAGTTCTAGTTTTGCCTTAGCCATGAAAGCTGGCTGGGTGACTTTGGGCCAATCACAAGAAATCGGGGAGTTCTAGTTTTGCCTTAGCCATGAAAGCTGGCGGGGGGACTTTGGGCCAATCACAAGAAATCGGGG